TATCCATTCATCTGCTGACAGACAGTTAGGTTGCTTCCATGTCTTAGCTATTGTAAACAGAGCTTCAATGAACATTTGAGTGCATGTATCTTTTCCATATCCTTAAAATCACCAGAGGATATTTTTTTAATACCAATGCCTATTCCCACCTCAGACAAAATAAATCATGATCTCCAAGGAGTATGGCATGACATCTGCAATTTTTAAATCTTCCAGGTGATTCATGCATAGATCTATTAGCCACGTGGATTTTTTTTTTTTACTTCTTTAAAATATATAATTGCTTTACAGAATTTTGAGGTTTTCTGTCGAACGTCAACAAGAATCAGCCACAGGGACACCCATGTCCCCTCCCTCCCGAACCTCCCTCCACCTCCCTCCCCATCCCACCCTTCAGCCTGTCACAGAGCCCCTGTCTGAGTTCCCTGAGTCACACAGAAAATTCCTGTTGGCTATCTATTTTACATATGCTACTGTAAATTTCCATGTTACTCCCTCCATACATCTAGCCATGTGGATTTGGGCACCCTAACTTAATATTCCTGGCATATAAATGGAGTATCATAGACACCTGTCACTGTCCTAACCGACCATCAACATTTTTCTTATTTAATAACAGTTTTTTTTTTGTTTTTAGAATCAAGTTTGAAAAAAGATTCATACATTGTAATTTATTGATATGTCCTCATAACTCTTGACATTTATCGGTTCCATCTCCCCTCTGCTTTTCTTTTTTTCTTTGCAAATTATTTACTGAAATGATCAGGCCACTCCCTTGTCCTACAGAGTTTCCTGTGGTTTAGAATTTGCTGTTGCCTATCCATGGTTTCACTTAATAAGTTCTTCTTTCCTGTTATTATTTCCTGTGAACTGAGTGTTTGATAAAAGACTTAATCAGATTCAGACTCAACTGGCAAGACTACCTCCTAGGTGATAAGCATACCTCTTTCAGAAGCTCATTCAGTCTCTTTGCCTCTATTTGTATGATGTGAAGTTACTGATAATCATTGCCTGGACCCATTATTTCACTGGGATATGCAAAACAATATCAACATCAATAACCTCAGATATGCAGATGACACCACCCTTATGGAAGAAAGAGAAGAAGAACTAAACAGCCTCTTGATGAAAGTGAAAGAGGAGAGTGGAAAAGTTGGCTTAAAACTCAGCATTCAGAGAACTAAGATCACCCCATCTGGTCCCATGACTTCATGGCAAATAGATGGGGAAACAATGAAAACAGTGACAGACTTTATTTTCTTGGGCTCCAAAATCACTGCAGATGGTGACTGCAGCCATGAAATTAAAAGATGCTTGCTCTTTGGAAGAAAAGCTATGGCCAACCTAGACAGCATATTAAAAAGCAGAGACATTACTTTGCCAACAAAGGTCTGTCTAGTCAAAGCTATGGTTCTTCCAGTAGTCATATGTGGATGTCAGAGTTGGACTATAAAGAAAGCTGAGCATAGAAGAATTGATGCTTTTGAAATGTGGTATTGGAGAAGACTCTTGAGAGTCCCTTGGACTGCAAGGAGATCCAACCAGTCCATCCTAAAGGAAATCAGTCCTGAATGTTCATTGGAAGGACTGATGCTGTGGCTGAAACTCCAACACTTTTGACCACTTGATGGGAAGAACTGACTCATTGGAAAAGACCCTGATGCTGGGAAAGATTGAAGGCGGGAGGAGAAGGGGATGATAGAGAATGAGATGGTTGAATGGCATCACCGACGCAACGGACATGAGTTTGAGCAAGCTCTTGGAGTTGGTGATGGACAGGGAAGCCTGGCAAGCTGCAGTCCATGGGGTCACAGAGTCAGCCACAACTGAGCAACTGAACTGAACTGATGCAAAACAATGATATTCTGTTGTTTTATCTTCATTTATTAGCTGGAACACTTCTATATAGAGAAACTTCTGGGACTTCCCTGGTGGTCTAGCAGGGATTCTGCACTCCCAATATAGGGGGCTCAGTTCAATTTGTGGTCAGGAAACTAGATCCCACATCTGCTGGTATTAAGTGAGAAAGTATGACAGGAACATTAGACACCCCCCCATGGCCAGCCCCCAAATATGTTCAAACAGGCAAGCATTTTATTTATACACCACAGTCAGCCCCAACAAAAGGCCCTTCCAACCAACAGCACAAAACTGCATAGTGGCACAGTCACACTACAAAATTACAGTGGTACGAAAATACACGCTCACTTTAAGGCAGAAGTCTCCAAATATTGAAAAACTGGACATCAACACCAAAAGAAACCAGAGAAGATATCTAACCCCAGCCATTTGTATTATACTTTGGAAAACTGAGTCCCAGTGGAGTTACCTGCATTCCCGGAGTGACACCACTAGTTCTTGCTAATTAGAAACCAGCATCTCTGACTCCTAAAGTCTGGTTTAAATTTGTCCCTTTTAATGTGACACCACCTTTCTGTTCCATCTTAGAAGCACTGCATTGGTCAACCAATTTTATTCCCCAGTTACTCACACTCACAACAAAAGGAAGACTACAGGGAAGAAAAGGAAATTCGAGGTTAAAAATCTTCAGGATTTGAAGGGAAGAAGTAAACTTATAACTCCTCTAAAACAAACAGCTTTCTTTTAAAGTACAAAATTTATTTATATTTCAAATCAAAGTGCATAAATTACAAAGGGATATTTCACCCATGTATTCAATCTACTTCTTATTTGGGTGCCTGTCCTTTCTGATGTGTGTGTGTGTGTGTGTGTGTGTGTGTGTGTATGTGCACGCACACGCACTGTCATTTCAGTCGTGTCTGACTCTTTGCGACCCCATGGACTGTAGCCCGCCAGGCTCCTCTGCCCATGGGATTATCTAGACAAGAACACTGGAGTGGGTTGTTGTACCCTCCTCCAAGGAATCTTCCTGACCCAGGTAGTGAACCAGCATTTCATGTCTCCTGCATTGGTAGGCAGGTTCTTCACCACTAGTGCCACCTGGGAAGCCCCTGATACTTTATTCCAGAATACAATCAAACCTTTTAAAAACATATTTATTTACCTGATTGCTCCAGGTCTTTCTTGAGACATTCAGCATCTCTAGTTGCAGCATGTGGAATCTAGTTCCCTGACCAGGAATCAAACCCAGGTCCCCTACATCGGGAGAGCAGAGTCTCAACCACTGGACCACCATTGAAGGCCCTCAAATATTAGTTTAAGTGATTTAGATCTAGTCTTATTTTAACTACACCACCCACTGGAATTAGATAACTGTAGAAATGTTTTAAATGTTTCATTACAAGCAGTATACCTAAACACTAAAAATAGATGATTGAATTTTGTCAGAGGATTAGCCTTTTTGGAAGTAGAGAAATAGTCATTCAAGTCTCTATATAAGGAAAATAAGGATAATTAAGGCACAATAATCCACTTACACTGGAATATCCTTTGTCTTTTGTTTATGTCTATTTGGCCAAATTTTCTTTTCCTTACCTTTATTTCTGCTGCCAGAATTAACTCATTAAGTATTTTAGGGTAAGGAGAGTGTCACACAGTGATAGCATTCCCCACTAAACTTCTGTATTTCTGACTTAGTGATCAACTATCTTGTAGCTCTTTTCCACTTCTCTCAGACTAATACACACATTGTTTATTCATTCATTAGTGTGGAAGTTATTTTCAGTAATATTTTGGAAATATTCGAGATTCAACATATACTACCCCATTTCGTACTTTGAAGATGTAAGACTATAGCAACTTAGGGAGAGTGGTTTATGTGCATTGTTTATTTATATACCAGAAGCTACATAAATTGTCACTATCACTGAATACACCCACATAAATTAAACATAAATATACTGTGTGTGCTGTGCTCAGTCACTCAGTGGTGTCCAACTCTTGGGCTCCACGGACTGTGTAGCTTTCCAGGACTGCACCCATGAAATTAAAAGACGCTTGCTCCTTGGAAGGAAAGACCAACCTAGATAGCATATTAAAAAGCAGAGACATTACTTTGCCAACAAAGGTCCGTCTAGTCAAAGCCATGGTTCTTCCAGTGGTCATGTATGGATGTGAGAGTTGGACTATAAAGAAAGCTGAGCGCTGAAGAATTGATGCTTTTGAACTGTGGTGTTGGAGAAGACTCTTGAGAGTCCCTTGGACTGCAAGGAGATCCAACCAGTCCATCCTAAAGGAGCTCAGTCCTGAATATTCATTGGAAGGAGTGACGCTGAAGCTGAAACTCCAATACTTTGGCCTCCTGATGCGAAGAACTTACCCATTTGAATAGACCCTGATGCTGGGAAATATTGAAGGCAGGAGGAGAAGGGGACGACAGAGGATGAGATGGTTGGATGTCATCACCGACTCGATGGACAAGAGTTTGAGTAAACTCTAGGAGTTGGTGCTGAACAGGGAATTCTGGCGTGCTGCAGTCCATGGGGTTGGAAAGAGTCGCACAGGACTGAGCGACTGAACTGAACTGAAGTGTCCATGGGATTTCCCAGGCAAGAATATTGGACAGGGTTGCCACTTCCTCCTCCAGGGGATCGTCCCCACCCAGGGATCCAACCCAGGTCTCCTGCATCTCCTGCATTGGCAGGTGGATTCTTTACCACTAGGGCCACCTGGGAAACCACATATATATATAATACACATAAATAAATATATACATAAATTGTGTCACTCTTATATCTTAGAGGCATTGTAAGTAAAGATCATTAAAACAAGTAAAAGCTAACTTTCTTGGGCTACGCAAATTACTGGACACTAACATACCTAGTGCTCTCTGAATAATCCTTAAATTCGGGATTCTGCTGCTACCCCAGCTCTATCTCAGAGGCTGGCCAGCCTCTCTCCACCTGTCACACACCCCGCCTTCGGCCCCGCCCTCATTAACCCCGCCTCCTGCGTGTTGGCACGCCCCCTGCGTTCAGCCAATAGGCGGTGACGCTAGAGGGAGCGGGACGTCCCTCTCAGCCAATGCAGGAGATCCTTGCTGACTCGGTCCCGCCTTTTGCCGGGAGGTCTGCCGGAAGATGGCGGCGGCCGCGGAGCTGACGCTGCTGGAGAAGTCTCTGGGGCTGAGTAAAGGGAACAAGTACAGCGCTCAGGGCGAGCGCCAGGTGAGACGCGGAGGCGGCGCGGAGCAGGAGGTGGGGACGGGAGCGCGGCCGGCTGAGCCCGAGTAGGGCCGCCCGGGCGGGGGAGGCGGCGGAGGGAGGATGCCGCCCGGCTCCTTCTCACGTGTCTGCGCTACCGGTCTTCTGCGGCCCTGGCTCCCGGAGGGACCGGAGGGAGCGGGAGGAACCTTCTCCGCTCGCCGCAAACTTTCTCTCCTGCGAAACTGTCATCATCGCGCTCTGGGAAAGCGAGGGGGTCCTCAAAGAGCCCTCGGATTCCCGCTCTGGGAAGGCGAGGGGGTTCTTCAGAGAGCCCCCGGGTTCCCGCTCTGGGAAGACGAGGGGGTCGTCAGAGAGCCCTCAGGTGGAGCAGGCTGGAGGCCCGGCGTGTGCGTTCAGTGACAGCATTTCCTGTAAACAGTACCTTTAAATCAGAATTCCGCATCGACCGCAGAGGGCAAACGGGGTGCAGAGTCCACCGTGCCAGGCCGGGGGGTACGGCCGGTGGTCGAGGCGGCCGCGCCCCTCCCGTCTCCTCCGGAGGCTTAATTTTTAGGTGAGTGGACACACACTGCAGCTATTTTGGTTACAGTGCTGAAAAGTGCGGCATTGCGGCGTGGACGGCCGCTGGATCCCTTAGTGGAATCCTGTTCTAAGGTCTGATCAAGTTCCTTGTGCAACGTACAAAGATCGAGGGGGAAGTTCCGCGGTCTGAGGTGACCTAGTGAGGCGTAGGAACAGATTTCTAAGGGCTTTGAAGGGCTTCTGTGTTTTATAAAGCTAAGTGGTTGCGGTGGAGCAATGAGTGTGTTAGAGGAGGGGACTATAGGAAAACAAATTTGAATTATATAATGTTTTTGACCCTTGGAGATTTTTTTCTTGATGAATTTTTTTTTTCCTGACTTCTTCGGATCTTCATTTGTTTTTTTTGGTTTTTTCTTTTTTTTTTTTTTTTCTGATTTCTTTGGTTCTTCTTCAGAAGAACTGAAGACTGCTTCATCTCCAAAGCAGTCGTGTTGTAGTTTTTACAAGTTAGACTGAAGTCTAGAAAGGGTTTCCCAGGCGGCTTAGTGGTAAAGAACCTGCCTGCTAATGCAGGAGACTCCAGTTGGATCCCTGGGTCAGGAAGATCCCCTGGAGTAGGAAATGGCAACCTACTTCTTGCCTGGAAAAATCTGTGAACAGAGCAGCCTGGAAGGCTGCAGTCCATGGGATTGCAGAGAATCACACACAACTGAACACACTCACACAGGGTCGGACATAGCTGAACACACAGACACAACACAGAGTTGGACACAGCTGAACACACACACAGACACACACACGAAAAGATGTGTGACGTGCCGAAGACCAGCCCACTGACTGGAGCCAGAGAGACCTGCTTTTTCCTTTCTCTCCGGCCTCCCGCTGCTTCTCTCTCATTTGGTTTGTGTTTTTTCCCCCACACGTTTGCCAAACATGAGTCCTGCCTTCAGGGAGCTTACCATCCAGCATGAGAAAAAGTCGTTAGGGGCTCTTTTTAAGCAGAACAGAATAGTTACGAAATGAAGGAAAGCGCTGTTGATGAGTGTGAAAGAGAAAGTTAATTCTGACTATAAAAATGAGTTTGGAAACTTCACGAATAGTTGGTGTTTAAAGTGTATAAAACTAATAAATTATGGTGGACTGCAAGGAGATCCAACCAGTCCATCCTAAAGGATATCAGTCCTGGGTGTTCATTGGAAGGACTGATGTTGAAGCTGAAACTCCAATACTTTGGCCACCGATGCGAAGAGCTGACTCATTTGCAAAGACCCTGATGCTGGGAAAGATTGAGGGCAGGAGGAGAAGGGGACGACAGAGGATGAGATGATTGGATGAGGCATCACTGACTCAATGGACATGGGTTTGGGTGGACTCTGGGAGTTGGTGATGGACAGGGAGGCCTGGCGTGCTGCAGTTCATGGGGTCGCAAAGAGTCAGACACGACTGAGAGACTGAACTGAAGATTGGGTAATTTGAGGCAACAAGTAGAGCAATGTGATGGATGATGCAATACAAGGTAAACCCAGAATTATAGTTGGAGTCCTAGTTGGGAGGGTTGTGGAGTTTAATTTAAACTTTTTTCTTTTTCTTTTTCTTTTTTTTTAAGCAGAGAGCAGCTATTGAAGGTTTGTTGATGTGTTTGGGGAAAGGGATGATGATGTATGATAAGGTTCATTCATTTTGGGGGGAAAACAACTTACAGTAATTAGCCCACAATAAAGCATTCTCTGCAATAATATCAATAATAATTAAAATTTCAAAACAATCCAGAAATGCAACTCTGGGAGAACCGTTGTTAAATTATGGCACATCAGCACATTGAGGTATTATTTATGTAGCCATTGAAAGTGATTACTTTGAAGACCATGGAACCTTAAGATGAATGTGAAGTAATATGTGTCCCATGATTGCAACTGCGTAAGGTTTGTCTGCTTAGGCTGTGTGAATGAAAGAAAATGAACTTTCCAGCCAATTGTACTTTACTGAAATCCTGACTCCCCCATCACAAACCTGGTGACCTTTGTTCTTCATCTGTGAACTGAGGATGAAATTACTTGCCTCTTAGATCTTAGAAGATGTAACGATTAGATGAGAAAGTAACCAGGAATTTTTTGACTTCCTGTGATGGGGTTGTGGATAATTTATTTTTACAAATAATTCTCTTTAGAATTGTCCTTTTCCTCCCACGCTCAGCAGTTGTGAGTTCTTTACTTTTCTCTTTCTTTCCTCTCTGTTCCTTCCTCCCTCCCTCCCACCCTCTCCCTCTTTCTCTCTTTTCCTCTTTCTTCCCTCCTGACCTCCCTGCCTTCCTGGAAGCATGGGCATCTCTTTACCTACCATAAAGTGCTGGAGAAGGAAATGACAACCCGCTCCAGTACCCTTGCCTGGAGAATCCCATGGACAGAGGAGCCTGGAGGGCTACAGTCCCTGGGGTCACAGAGTCGGACACGACTTAGTGACTGAAGCACCACCATAAAGTACACACAGTCACAGTCAGGGAATGGAACATTGGCAGCACCCTCTGCAAGTTTCATATGTTTTCTTTTTAATGCATTTCTTAAAGGAGATTATTGGTGATCTTAGAAGTGATGGTTTCACTTGAGGGTGAAGGCAAAAGTGAGAGTTCAGGGAGCTAGGTAGTGAATGGAAATAGCTGGTGAGGAAGTGGAAAGCTGAGACCGCCTTTGGTTACTTCCTTTATTGTTTAGGAGGTAATCTTTGAATCTGTATCCATAAAATGTTAATCTTCCCATATACTTCACATGGTCTTGTTGACCCAGGTTTGAGTGTGAAAGGGCCCTGCATAGAGTAAGTCACTCCGAGTTCAGGAGACCGAAGAGAGCGGGAAAGGACAGCCGTCTTCTCCTGAAAATGTTCTCTTTCGGTTTCCTGAAGTGGTTTAGATTGTTTACTTGTTTTTTATAATTGGTTGGTCTCCCTATTGGTGATACTTCCCTTTTTCTTTTAAATTTCTCAAAATACTTTGCCTAGTTGTACATCAAAAACTTTTAATTAGCAGTTTCTTATAATCCGATCCTTTGTATTGCTGTTATAAACGGGAAAACTGGAAAAAGTGGAATTGTTTTTCAGATGATTACCTGAAGCCCTGACTTTATTGTAGACTTTTATTATCAGTGTACTCATTCTGAGTTACTCCAAAATTGATGAATATGCAATCCATGACAGCAAAATCACCATCACAGTCCGTACCATATAATGAGTTAACTAATTAGTTAATGGGGTAACTAATTATATTAGATTACATGTCACTTAAACCAGGCTACAGCTTATTTGGTGGTTCTAGCTGTATCAACATGAATTCAGTGCTCACTACAATTGTTTCTTGTTTTTGTTATTGCAAATTTGGGTTTATTTAAGCATGTTCATTCACCTTGCTAAATAGGGTGTGGGTAATCTTGATCAAAATTAATGTGGTATCATTAGGATTTCCATTTTCTATTTTTGTACATGTGTAGTTATAAATAAGGTAGAAATATCATTACTCATTTTTGCAATGTTACTACCAGTTTCATGGCATGAAGCAACTGTTATCAAATGTAAACTAATGTAACTGTTATTTTCCTGACTTTGATTTGTATATAACTTAATATCTTCGTGCATGCATGCTTACTTGGTCAGTGGAGTCCAACTGTTTGCAACCCTGTGGGACTCTAGCCCACCAGGCTTCTCTGTTCATGGGATTCTCCAGGCAAGAATACTGGAGTGGGCTGCTATTTCCTTCTTCAGGGAATCTTCTAGACCCAGGGATCGAACCTGGGTCTCCTGCATTATCAAGTGGATTCTTTTACCACTGAGCCACCGGAGAAGCCTATTTAATATCTTAAGAGTATTTAAAAAGAAGTAGGTTAGGATTTAGAACTTAGCAGTTGTGATGGTATTTTAAGATTTTTTTTTTTTCTGTTTAAGATTCCAGTTCTTCAGACGAACAGTGGTCCAAGTCTAACAGGACTGACTACCATAGCAGCTCACCTTGTCAAGCAGGCCAACAAGGACTATTTGCTGGGGAGCACGGCAGAGGAGAAAGCCGTGGTTCAGCAGTGGTTAGAATACAGGGTGACTCGAGTGGACGGACACTGCAGCAAGGACGACATCCGCGCTGTCCTGAAGGTATGGCCAGGCTTCTTTCTGTGGGCTGATGTGTGTGTGAACTGCTAATAGCCGGGCTCTGTTTTCCCTAGATTCAGTAACTGAAGCTCTTGGTCTCTTTACTGTTTCCTCTACCCCGAGATACTCTGGACCTGTTACTGCCTTCCCCTGTCTGTACCTGTTACTGCCTTTCCCGGGAACAGACTCTGCCCGGTCCTCGGCTCCTGCCTCGGCTGAGACCCCCTCCTCAGTCATATCCTTGACCAATACTTCTCTCTCACAGATGCACTTTCTTCTTTAAATGCTTTTCTTTACTAACATCCTGTGCTTTTCCTTTGTAGCACTCAGCACAGTCAATAATTATAGCTTTTTATGATTTTTTTCTTTTATATGATTGCTTGATACTTATTTCCCCCAGTCAGTCGTTCTGATTCTCTAAGCACAAAGTACTTTCTTAAAGGAAAGAAAGAATCAGAGTTTGAGGGGGTTGTAGTTTGAGAAAAGCCTGTCCAATTGATGTGAGAATTCCCATTTCCCTCCCTTGAGACTTAATGCTTTAGGATTTGTATTTTCTTTCTAAAGAAATCAAATTAGAATTAAAGAATCTATTGTTATGAAATATAAACCATATGTGGCTCTAGAGTCACCAAGTATGAAAGTTTCTAAATAAAATTATTTTTGTTACCTATATAAAAATAAAGCACTTTTTTTTTTAAAAAGCTTAAAATTTGAAGGAACCTTAGACATCACCCAGACAGCCACGTCATTGCAGGAATCCTTTCTGTCTCCTAATTTTATGCCAGTTATAAATTGGTAGTGTCAGTTGCACGAGAAGAGCTCAGAGTACTGAAAGCTTTTCATTTACCATCTGGGGGAAGTGGTTTAAATTCTGTTCCTGACAGACACCATAATAGAACTGGTAGAAAATAAATTCCACATCTTTTTCCTTTATAGGTCTATCATGATCAGCTATCCTTATTTTTAAGTGTTTTTGTTTGTTCGTCGTTATTTTAATAATTTTATCTATTTATTTGTGTATTTATGGCTGGGCTGGGTATTTGTTGCTGCTCAGGCTTTCTCTGATTGCAGCGAGCAGGAGCGTCACTCTCGTTTTGGTGAGCAGGCTTCTCGTTGCAATCGTTTCTCTTGTTGTGGAGCACGGGCTTGGGGGCTCCATAGCTGCGGCTTCCAGGCTCTCGAGCACAACCTCAACTGGGGTGTCGCACGGGCTCAGTTGCTCCGAGGCATGTGGGATCTTCCCAGGTCAGGGGTCAAACCCACATCTCCTGCACTGGCAAGCGGGTTCTTCACCACTGTGCCACCAGGGAAGCCTTTCAAGTCCATAAATATTCACTTATATTGTCTCTGATGAACCTTTTAGTATTCTATTATATAGTCTTGCCAGCATTTAGTCTGTCCCCATGTAGTTACCAGACTGTGGCTAAATATTTTAACGCATTCCGTTTGTTTCCTTACGCTAAACTGTAAGAGAAACTGTTGGACCAAAGCTACATACATTTCTAAGGCTATGTTGCTCATCTCCCTTCTAGGAAAGTGTTTTATTGTAGCTTGGCAGTATGCGATGACCATGGCCTCTTCCTCAAAACCCCTGCTGACATAGATGTTACCCCTCTTCCTCCTGTAGCACCCTGATTTCATGACAAAGCCCAAAAGTGATCTCCTTGTTTACTTTGCTGTTTTTGTGTGTGCGACATTATTAATGCTGTGGCATTTTTTCCATAACACGAGCATTTTCATCATTATTTTTAAAAATTTGCTTACATATTTTCTTTGCCTGTTTTTATACTGGGCTGTTTCTGTTTTTATTACTTTTTTTAAAAATCTTGCTATAAGGATATTGTAAAAAGATTTAATATACTCGCTAAAGTTCCATTTCAAAGTTAAAACCACAGTGACTCAGAGCTAAGGTAATATGTAATTTAAAAACAGGCATTGGGCTTCCTCTGTGGCTCAGTGGTGAAGAATCCACCTGCCAATGCAGGAGAAACAGGTTGGATCCCTGGTCCAGGAAGACCCCTGGAGTAGGAAATGGAAACCCACTCCAGTATTGTTACCTGGAAAGTCCCATGGACAGAGAGGAGCCTGGTGGGCTCCAGTGCACAGGGCCACAGTCGGACATGACGGAACACGTCCAGGGAGGTCCCTCCTGCTGAGCAGCAGCTAAGCCCAGGCGCCAGAGCTGCTGAAGACTGTGTGCCCTAGCGCCCATGCTCCACACCTGGAGGGCAGCCCCCACTCTCCGTAGCCAGAGAAGAGCCCGCACAGCACAGCCAAAAATAAATACAATTATTTTTTTTAAAAAGCTGACGTTATGATACACTGACATTTGGATCCAGATGAAGGATGTGTGAAAGTGACTCAGTCGTGAACCCATGGACTGTACAGTCCATGGAATTCTCCAGGCCAGGATAATGGAGTGGGTAGCCTTTCCCTTCTCTAGGGGATCTTCCCAAAGAATTGTCACTATTAATCTGTTTGGCAGCCCTTTGAGAGCAATGTCTAACCAAATAGAGAATATCAGTGAAGTGAAGAAGTGGAAGTTGCTCAGTCGTGTCTGACTCCTTGCCACCCCATGGACTATACAGACCATGGAATTCCCTAGGCCAGAATACTGAAGTAAGTTTAATAATAGTTAAGCAAAAAAGACAGATAACTCTGATGCCAGTTTGGCAGTGGCATCAGAAATACTTGTTTAAAAAATATATATAATGAACATCAGACTATAGTTCTTTTCTATGAATATTTTGAGTGTGAAATTCTCTGTTTTAAATTTCAGAATAAAATTTCAGAATTCAGTTTCTGAAAAATCAGAATTTAATTTCTGAAAATTTTGATTTATATCACTAATCAGAAAAATATTACCTCTTGATAGTTTTTGAAACTCCATTTTAAAGTTTTTATGACTGAAGAGCATCACCTTAAAAGAGTCTTTATAATGAAAACATGCTGTGCTGTGCTTGGTTGCTTAGTCGTGTCTTTGTGACTTTCGAGACCCCGTGGACTGGAGCCCGCCAAGCTCAGCTCGTCTGTGTGTGGGATTCTCCAGGCAAGAATGTTGGAGTGGGTTGCCGTGCCCTCCTCCAGGGGATCTTCCAACACAGGTCTCCCGCATTGCTGATGGATTCTTTCCCGATTCTGAGCCACCAGGAAAGCCCTAACTAAAACATAAATATGGACTGTATTACGAATATCTACACTATACAAAGCAGTGTTAAATTATTTCAGATTCTTTAAGAGATGGTTCTTAAAATTAATTGTAGATATATTTATTTTATTCTTATGCTGTATCAGACTTGTTTCATATGAAGACATTTGGAGGAAAAAACATTTCCATCCAACAGATTGCTAGGGAATTTAAGTGATAGCCTGTATATACCATTGTGTTTTACCGTCTCTGCCCAGTTTTATTTTGATTCTTATGCATTTGTTTCCTTGTCTATGTACATGTTTCTTTATGTCATCATCTGTACCACCACTTACAATCCCATATTCATATACAGTCTTGAAAATTACTGTCTTTAAATGAAGACTTGGGCATATTCAAAGAGTTCAGATTCAGTTCAGCTAACATTTACTGATTACTGAACCACTGTGTGCCAAGCATGTGGCATATGATTTGAGAGTGAAAACAAACTGCTCTCTCTGCAGCTTAAGAAGTTTTTCTAGAATGATTACATAGGAATGTTAATCAGCCTTAATAAAGAAGGAAATTCTGACACAGGCCGCATCATGGATAAATCTTAAGAATATTATGCTAAGTGAAATAAGCCAGTCACACAAAGACAAATAGTACATGATTCTGCTTATATATATAGCATGTGCAAAATTCTGTGAATAAAATTCATAGAAACAGAAAGCAAAATAGTGACTGCGTGCAAAATTCTGTGAATAAATTTCATAGAAACAGAAAGCAGAATAGTGATTGCCAGGGCCTTGGGGATGAAAGAAAGGGGAAGTTGTTTTAAAAAGTACAGAGCATTAGTTTTCTGAGATGAAAAAGTTCTGAACATCTATTCCACCACAGTGTGGATATCCTTAACATTAAGTGAATTATGCACCTACAGATGGTTGTGGTGGTAAATAAAAATTTGATTAATTTTAACATGTTCAGTTCAGTTGCTCAGTTGTGTCCAACTCTTTGCGACCCAATGAATCGCAGCATGCCAGGCCTCCCTGTCCATCACCAACTCCCGGAGTTTACTCAAACTCATGTCCATCGAGTCGGTGATGCCATCCAACCATCTCATCCTCTGTCATCCCCTTCACCTCCTGCCCCCAATCCCTCCCAGCATCAGGGTCTTTTCCAATGAGTCAGCTCTTCGAATGAGGTGGCCAAAGTATTGGAGTTTCAGCTTCAACATCAGTCCTTCCAATGAACACCCAGGACTGATCTCCTTTAGGATGGACTGGTTGGATCTCCTTGCAGTCCAAGGGACTCTCAAGAGTCTTATCTAACACCACAGTTCAAAAGCATTTAATATGTTACATGTATTTATCTCAATTAAGAAGTTAAAAGTATACATATATAAAAAAAATCTAACAAACCAATACTTTATAATTCTCTTAAGATGTAGGAATTGTTGAGGAGCTTTTCATATTTCAATGGAGAAAATAAATCTAACATGAGCATGATTTACAAAATGTCCCCCCATCTCCCAAAAGAAACAGTTGGAGTCTTTGAAATTACCATAGATGGCACTGTGAATATCATTTTCTAATGTTTTCTTACTTCTTTAAAATAAGATGAATAATAGTTATCTTGATTTTTAAAATGAGTTGATGTATGATTTGTGATTTCAAATAAATTTCTGTTATTGTCAAAGATTGAATTTATTAAATGTCAGTGTTTTGTTTTCTAATAGCTTTCTAAATGTTTCAAATCAAATGTATAGTTAAGTTTATTGTTTCTTAAATTAATAGTTTATTATTTGTTTTTCTAGGATCTTAATTCATATCTTGAAGATAAAGTCTACCTTACAGGATATAACTTCACATTAGCAGATATCCTATTATATTATGGGCTTCATCGCTTTATTGTGAGTATTCAAATAGTTATTGGCTTTTTTTGTCTGCAATGTTCAGAATGCCTTTTTTTCATTTGTCTTGAATTTAAATCAAATTTGCATTTTCACCTTGTCAAATGAAAGGGATTATTTTTATATAAGGTACCTTATGCAAATATTCCTTCCTTCCGTGGATCCATCACACGTGGGAGCTTCCTGCTCCTTGACAAGCTTGGTTTTGCTCCTGTTCTTGTCCCTCCTTCTCTCCGTGGCTCCTCCTCTGCCCCCTTTGGACTTGGTCGTCATCCTCACCTGGACCCTGCCATCACCTGTCCACTCCTGCTTTCAGTGCCCCACCTTCTGTGCGACCTCCTCTCTCACTCCAGTCTCACTTCCCTCCAGTCTTAACTCTCTGGTCCCATCATTACCTGAAGTAATTCAGTTTCTCCCCTTTTTTCAAGCCTGTGCACTTTCTTTCCCATCCAGCCTAGATCGCTGGATGTGTAACTTGAATCCTCAGCTCTTGGTTCGTCCAGATACACGCCTTCAGTTCTGTCTCCCTGCTCAGCTGTGTCAGAGAAATCACACACAAGCTGTCATTAAGAAGATGAGCATTTCTCCCCTCTGATTGAAAAAATAAAGGACTATATGGAAGTGTGACTCTTGCAAACCAGTGCTTATTTTACATTCTTCTCTCTCTGGCTTATACAGGTCATGCAGTAGGGAAAGGAAATACTCAGAAGGAGGGAGCTTGTGTGGAAATCTTTGCCAGCAGAGTGAACAAAATTCTAATTCCCTAATGTACCAGCTGCCAGGCTATTTCACTGATTCTGGGTGCCTACAAGGGCCTGTGATTCCCAAGCAGGTTGGAAGTGTTTCATTCAATGCCGCGTATTAAAACGAGGCTTCTGGGAGTACCTTGGTGGCCTAGTCGTTACGATTCTGGGCTCTCGCTCCTGTGGACTGAGTTCAGTCCCTGGTCAGGGAAACTGAGATGCCACAAGCCATGTGGCTCAGCCAAAAATAAGTAAACAAAATAAAACTTCAAAAAAAACCACCCGAAAACCTGGTCTTCCATTGACAGTATTCAGTGATCCCTGCCTATTTATATCTCTATTTTGGGATGTGTATCCTCGTTATATGATTGCAATATTATGATTAAGGCTCTCATGCTCATTTTTTCTGAAACAAAATTGAGTGGAATAATATGTAAATCACCTCACCGTCCCTTCGGGTTCATCAAATGAGTCCACAACCGAAGCTGTTCCTCCACCCTGCTGCATGCGCAGGCAGGTCACGTCGGAGCGGGAGACACCTTCTCAAGGAGCAGGCCTCCCAGACAGAGCCTGAGGTGCTGAATGATAGCCCTTCTGAGTTGGGTGTAAATGTACCCAGGTGAGAAGAAAGTGATTTCTAGGTATTAATTTCAGGCAGGGTCGATGGAAGGTTCAGCTAGCTTCATGCTCAGGTTCATCCCATAGCTTCTTGTTTTTCTTGGCTGTGTATTTTCACCTTCATATGTTCCTGCATTTCCTTGTTCACATTATTAAAACTTAATATGTCATCAGCGCAATCAGCACGGTCCATGAAACAGGGAACCTTTAAGTCATCAAATGATCCCGCTGTGTTTTGTTTCAGCGTGCCCGGGTTTAGCTGTGGCCGAATTACTCTTGAGGTCTGGTCTCTTGATTCCCTCTGAGGAACATTACGTTGTCCTTCCTTTGTTGCAGTGCCAGTTACTGTGGCCGTCCGTGATTAGCCCCATGACTCACTGCTCTCTTGAAGTGATTTCACCAGTACACAGCAGCCCCTGTGAACAGGCTGTTACTCGAGATTATTAAAATCCTTTGTAACCTTACATGTGGCTTAACTATAAGATTGTTACCAATTGAAATACATTTGTTTTGGAGTTTGGAACACCAGTGGAGGTATCATTCTTTTAGAAAGAAAGGAGAAGTAAAAAAGAAAGAGCTACCGAACAATCCAGGAACACCAGCTGTGAAGAGTGTCCCAGAGGCAGCGTGGAGTCTGCCGGAAAGCTCGCAGACCAGCATTTCCTCTGATCTGGAAAGGGTCGCTCAGAGTGTTTCTCACATGTCTTCATGGAAAATTAGTGACTAAAGATATTATCTGTTTGGCCTTACAGTTCAAACTGGTTATAGAGCGCCAGTATAAATATGAAGGAATGATTTGCTAGAAAGGCTGAACATCACTGCAGACATACTGGCACGCAGACCAGTAAGAAACAGGAAGTGTTAATTAGAACAATCGCATTGTGTTTCCCATTATTAAAAAAAGAAAAAGGAGAAAGAAAAATTGTCAGCTAGAAAGGGATGGTGGAAAATCAGTCATTAGTAAAATAGTTGATGGGGATCCCATCCCACGAGTTCTGAAAGAATTTAAGCGTGGTGAGAGTCAAGTCTTCTGTTGCTCTGTTTACAGTATGTTTTCCAGAAGAGCAGTGGTGGTAATAAAACCAAAAGGTTAGGTGTATCGTGCTCTTCCTGGAAACAGGTTGTATTCTCGCAAAATGTCCTGAGGGAAAGTGAACAAATTTACAGTGTCTAACATAGATCATCTAATTAAAAGAATCAATGAGGAAGTGTTAGAAGAAACTTCAGAAGCTCTTGGAATGAAAATTGCGTTATGCTGTGGGTCTGTTGTGTTCCTGACACTGGAGGCTGGGAGATGTGTGCCTTTCAGGCTGTAAGGTCCTGATCGGCCGCGCGCCGTGTGTGTGGCTGCTGTGACACAGCCGTAGGCCTGGTGGCAGCATTCTCTGGTCTCTGACAGCGCGGCTTGTTCTGAAGTGCAGGTTTTAAAACAGACACTGCCCTTCCCGCCGCATCACAACTTGAGTGAACAGCTTGAACCTGGATCAAACAAGCGTTACTGTACAGAAATGCTTTCTTTGTGTGTTTTAATTCATTCTGAACGATCACATCTCACAAAACAGCTGAGTGGAGGCTTTTTAAAATGAAAGAGTTCTGAAATTAGTCAGATTGTAAGCAGTCAAATTGGACTCACCATATGTATCAACAGCTGACATGAAATCAAGTTGGAGTAATACTTGCTACTTCTGTTTGCTTCAGCTATCAGTGAAGAGGTTTGTTGAATTGGTTTTGAATTTTATTTATGTGTATATATACATATATTTGTGTTTGTGTGAAAGTGGGCTTCTCTGGTGGCTCAGACAGTAAATAATTTGCCTAATGCAGAAGACCCGGGTTCAGTTCCTGGGTTGGAAAGATGCCCTGGAGAAGGGAATGGCCATCCACTCCAGTGTTCTTGCCTGGGAAATCCCATGGACAGAGGAGGTTGGCGGGCTGCAGGCCATGGTGTCACAAAAGAGTTGGACATGACTATGACCTATCAACAAAACAATAACGAATAGCACTTTGCATGTAGTCTTTAAAACGGAAAGTGAAATTTTATGTAACAGTAGCAATGAGACTCTCACTGCTAGTAAACTGGTCCAACAGAGATAGACATTTGATATCAAAGATGTTGTTAACAGATCAGCTATTAGTACAATTGTATCCTAATGTCATGAAGGCAAAAAGGAAGGCTGATGACGTCTCTCCACTTTTCCGTTTAAATTGCCTGGTAGTAAACATGAAAGGAAAATACAAATTCAATTAAACATTTATTGAGAAAATGCTACCTGTCTACCCTTTATAATATTTTCTATTCTGTAATAATTATCAAATACCAGAGTGATTTGTCCTTCAGTGTTGCAGAACTGGTCCCTTAGGAGAGCATTTGCCTGTGGACACAAGTGTATGCAACAAGCAGATGGCTAATGGATTTGCAGTCCGAGAGGGTGACTGAGATTTTGTGTGTTTGTGAGCATTCCTACTCAGTTGCATGGAGACTTGCAATGTGTTAAGTAAATGAACTAACAACAGGAGAAGGAACTACACTAGTCTTACCTGGTCTGTGGCTGGCCTGCTGGCCTCTTCTTGCCTGACACCACTTCATGATTCCAATCCAAAATTTGGCTCGGAGAAACGGCTTCAAGTCGCCTGCATTGGGGTCTGAGCCCAGTGAAGTGATCGGGGGTCTGACCCACCGTGTTGATTGCATCTTTCCCTAACCAGGTCTCTGGGCCTCCTTGTAGTGGGACAGTCAATTCTGTGAGCTGCTGCATCCTCTAAAGATCAAGTTCAGCTTTACTGCAAAGAGAATTCAGAATGCCTTTAGTTCATCTGAGGCACACACCCTGGAAATAGCCCTTCCTTCTTCTGTTAAGCAATAATTACTTAACAGTAAAAGGGTCATTGTGCGTTTCTCCAGAGTGTGGTAGAAATCAGCAGCTGTCTGCACGTTTATTTACAGCAGTCATCCAGAAATGTGTGTGTGTGTGTGTATTTGTAGATATGCATGTGTGTGAGTTTACTTTGTATTCCCTTGTCAAGTATGTTAGATGCTGACAAACCTTCCTTATTTTAGATTTGCGAAAAATACTGGAGAAAGAACCATATCTTAGTCTCTCAGAAGCTATTCTCTTCCTTTTCAATAAAATTTAATTTAAAAAAAAAAAAAACCTTCTGGTCTTCCAGATCCTGACTTAATGTAGACTTTTCATTTGTTGAAAACTTGAGATTTCGCTCAGAAGCACTTCTGGTCTTGACGGCAACATGAAAGCCTTAAACAAATGGAGAGCTCGTCCAAGTGGCTGAGATGGTCCACTCCCATCTGAATATGTTGGCGTTGATCCCCGTGGGGCCCCCCAGTTTCTGTCTCCCACTCGAGGGATATTAATAGTTACACTTATGTAATGTCTGTGTTGTGTGTGTCTTTCATCTCTACTTAGGTTGACCTGACAGTTCAAGAGAAGGAGAAATATCTTAACGTGTCGCGCTGGTTTTGTCACATTCAGCACTGTCCAGGGATTAGGCAGCATCTGTCTAGTGTTGTCTTCATCAAGAACAGACTATATACTAATTCCCAGTAGAAGCCACCCGCGCCTGCCCAGAAGAGGGAATAACCTATGTCCAGTGGAAAGTGTGTTTCGGACCAGAGGACTGACGTGAACTGATATGCACCCATTCTCTATTTGTTGAAGTTGGTAGAATTTAAGTACAAATTCATGTCCCAGCATTTTGTCTGTTTTTTTTAGTTGACATTTTGCAGTTTTTTTAATGTAAAACTTCAACTGCTGTCAAAACTTGAGTTGAAATCAAGTTATCAATTATCTTGGGTTTTATAGATGAAATTTCTGTTAATAAAAGTTGCAAATCAGTGGTTTAATCTTTTAAAAAAAAGTCCTTCCAGTGACTGACATATTTGACTGCTAATTGACCTCTGTTATCTTGTAAAATTCATTTTCCCCTTCTGCGTATTTCTAGTAGTTTGTTTATTAACAGCTAGAGTAAATTGTCACCAAGGAGACAAAAAGGGAAGACAGGTGGATTTGTCTTTCGTTATTTATGTGAGCCAGTAAAGGTGGTTGAGAAAAATCTTTTTTGTTTTTCTTTCCTGTAGCCAGTATTCATTGAAGTGAAACCAACTGCTGCTCTGCCAGAGCGGAAAGTGGAATAAAATATGTTCCTTTGAGTTAATGGTTCTTTTGTTGGCCTTGGGCTTATTGGAATATGCAGCAGCTAAAAAGGGATGGGAAATTCCTACCACCCTCCTAATTTTGGACTCTGTAACTACTAGATTTTTCTAAACTATTAATAAAAACCAACATAGAAAGGCCGCCTGGATACCCTAAAGAACACTCACACACATATTAACAAGCCGATATAATTTATAACTCTTAGCAGCTGAATCAATAAATAATCAGTGATTGAGAGCTAAAGAGCTCACATTTACAAACTGTAGGGAAAGAGGAGTCTTTGAGCACTTTATTGTGATGTAATGTTTTGGTGCCCCCGCTGAGTCTCACTAGAATACAATTCAGAGTTCAAGTGCAAAGAGCAGAGGCTTGGGAAATGTCCATCACGTCCTTCTGGCTCCGTGCTGCTTTGATCACACTCTAGCTGCATGTGTGACCTGAAGCAAGTCAGGTAACCACGTTTTCTTAAGATGTAAAACTAAAGATAAAATGTAAAAACAAAAATGACTCTAAACTTGGAGGATTCATGGAGACACTGTGTGTGGAAAAGCCTTAACACGCAGCCCCTGGCTATCGGTAAAGGTTTGCCTTTATAAGAGCCCCACCCCTCCTGAGTCAAAAGATTTAATAGGCAAGAGTGTTGAGTATACTGTAATTTGTTGTGTAGTTGCTTTTTGCGACCCCATGGACTGTAGCCCAAGAGGCTCCCTTGTCCATGGGGTTTCCCAGGTAAGAACACTGGGGTGGGTTGCCTTTTCCATCACCAGGGTATCTTCCCAACCCTGGGACTGAACCCAGGTCTCCCGCATTGGCAGGTGAATTCTTTTCCCTGAACTACCAGGGAAGCCCATAGACGAAGATAGTTTTTACAGGATTGGGTTTCACAGCTCACTGCTACTTGGAGCCTTTTTCATTTTTACAAAGTAGCCTTTGTATTAGAAACCGTGAACTTGTGTTTGCATATTCAGAGACTGGAGGGCTCAAGTTCATCTTGGGAGTTTGTGAACCACAGAGGGGGGCCTTGCTCCATCTGACTTTTCATGCGAACCACTCCCCCAGCTGGGTCTGCTGTAAGCCTTCCACCTTAAGTTCAACTCCTGGGAATCACACCTTTCTCTAACACTTCTCTGGTGTCCCCTGGACCGGGGGAGGTAAGCAGGACAGACAGGATAGAGGAGAGACGGACTAGCCCTCCCTCCCGTCCTGAGCATTTCATTTTACTTCAGTGTAGGTCCGCTGGGAGGAAAGGGGCGGAGGACGCCTCTTTGCTGAATGGACCCTCTTCCCACTTGTGCCTTGTGAGTCTTAACCCTCTGGGCTTCCTGACATCTGCTAGTCAGTTCTTCATTGCAGAGTTCAACATTGCTTCAACAGGTTATCACCAGGGAATTCCCTGGAGGTCCACTGGTTAGGACTCGATGCCCTTACTACTGAGGACTAGAGTTCCATCCCTGGTCAGGGAACTAAGATCTTTCGAGCCCCAGAGTGCAATCAAACAAAAAACAAACAGATTCTCACGTACTACTTGCCAGGATGATCTTGGAGAATGAGGATGGAGGAAAAGAGAAAAAGCTGTTCCCTCGGGCAAAGATTAAACAATACTCTCAGTGTCTAAATTGAAACCATTCAGTTGCCCTTAGAAAGGCTGCTGGGCATCTCGGGTCATTTCCATCAGGCACTTCTCTGCCTGAAATGCCCTTTCTTTGATAACCTCTTCAGTATTCAACTTTGTCAAGTCCTGAAAATCAGGTCCATGTTGACCACCCCATCTCCCATTCTGGCAGTGAACGTCACTGTGCTATTTTTGATCACCTGCCTCCCACCAGATGTTTAATTCCTTGAGATCAGGTACTTTTTGCAGCCGTCAAAAACAATGACTGGCACATAACAGTAGATGCTAGATATGTTTGTTGAAGAATGTAGTATTAAGTACATCTTGAGCTAGCCAAGAAAAGTGTAAGTGCGAGTTGCAATTAGGTAGAGGTGGATAGCAGAAAAACCAAAGGATTGTTTTTTTTCTCATGTGAAAGAAGACAGTCCACAGTTGCTGGTAGGCATCCAGCTACTTCTTCATACAAAACAAGTAGTTTTCTGTTTTCTCAAGTTCACCTCATGGTCGAAGTTGGCGATTGGCCCCAGACTTTAAATCTATGATTAAGATTCAGAGAAGGAAGCCAAGAGGAAGGGCAAGAAGACTCCTCTCCCAGCTGAGTCAGTTCACTCGAAGGACCTTTCCTGGAAGCCCTGTTCAGCAATATCTATTTACACGACTTTACACTCCCCTGTGGGGAGGGAGGCCAGAAATGTAGGTCTTTAGCACACACATCGCCAACCAGAGTAAAACCTGTGCTCTGTCAGTGAGGAGGAAGGAAAGAAGGGGCAGGTAGGCACAAGGCTGGCTGTCACAGCGAGTAGACAGGAAAGTCTATTCTTCCGTACTTTGAAGGGGTGCTGAGCAGCTGGCAGCCTGTCCAAGAATGCTTTACATGCTGTTTCCAGAATTTGTTTACAGACGATTGGATTGGAGACTCTATGAGGGCAAGTGTATAATTGTCATCCACAGAGCCTGTGGATTCTCTGAAAGCAACTAGAAATAATGAGATACCATAGTCATGTCTGTGTTCTGGGCTCTGTACCAGGCACTTTACAGCATACACATTATCTCATGTTAATTTAGGAACCATGGCAGAGGCTGAGACTAACCCTCATGCTGCTCACCCAGTGAGGCCACAGCTGGCGTGAATGGGAGCCTTAAGACTGCAGAATTGGAGGACATCACCTGTCATCCTCGCATACACTGGGGTTTGAAGTGATTTGTGGAGCTCTGTGGTTGTCAGTCCATGGCAGGCAGATGCTATCCCAAGGTGGTAGGAAAAGTGACCTGATTTAAATTATCCCACCACCATCCACATTCAGCAATAAGATTATTGCACTGAGTTGTTTTTTTTTAATTCATATTTGGCTGCACTGGGTCTTCATTGCTACGTGTGGGCTTTTTCTAGTTGCAGTGAGCAGGGGCGAGGATGTGCAGGCTTCAGAGTTGTGGTGCTCAGGCTTAGCTGCCCCATGGCATGTGGGATCTTCCCAACCAGCGATCAAGTCAGTGTCCGCTACCTTGCAAGGTGGATTCTTAACCACTGGACCTCCAGGGAAGTCCCACACCAGGGAGTTTTAACAGATGTGCGGACATTCTCATTTTCACTCCCGTTAAGCATATAGGTCCCCCATTGGCTCCACCCAGTTAAGTCTGAAGCCGTAGTCCCCACAGTCTTCAGTGGGCACGTTAAGTTTCCTGCAGGGACCGAGGCAGGGAGGTAGAAGTGGAATGAATGGGCAGATCACCCTCTCGTGGTGCTAAGTGTGAGAGCCCTGCTAAAGTCCTTCCAGAAAAGCTTCAAGATGTCTTGATAAAAGTTTAAGCAGAAGTATTGTTAGGAAAGAATAGAACTCTGTAACAATCAGTTACACATACATCACATTAAGAGAGAAAAGACACAGTTCTTTGACAAGGAGTCAAATTAGAATGATTATGAAGCACAGCTCTTTTGTGTATTTTTCCTATCATTTGACTTCATTACTTAAAAAAAGAATCAGATGTTACACAAATTTTAATATTAATCTAGCTTTGGCAAAGATGTGGTGGTGTCATGGATTTGAGCATTTAGCTTTCTAACCCCAGAGGGCAATATTTCTTCTTTCTCTCCATAATTGGATAACCTGTTCCGACCCATTACCAGGGCACTAAATTTCAAATTCTCCATGCACCTGAGTAGGCCGCTACATATCTGGCCATCTTAATTTTAGTCTTGATTTATTGAAGCTGAATTACATTCCCAACTCTTCCTGGAGCTCTGGGTGAATTTTACTGCAAAAGCAATGGGGGAAAGTTGCCATCATATATCTCTTGCCAGGCAGAGGTTCTCGGTACACAAGGGGGCTCCTCATCCCACTCCTCCACGTCTTAGATCTGGATTTATAACACTGAAGCCCAGCTCCAGGGTTACATACAGGCATATCCGAGATGAGATGGGGAATTTGATTTTGCAATAATGATTACTTGTTGCTGGGGCCCATATTCCTGCAGGCTCTGCCTTATTCTCCCTCCTGCTGATGAATAAACTAATTCCAACTGCTACCTTATCTAGCAAAACTCATCTTTCACTTACGAGCGAGACCAAAAGCAGGGAGACAGGAAGTCAGGAGAATTTGAGATGCTGGCCACTTTTGCTGCTGTGGCTCAAGGGTTTCTTCTTCCATTAGTGCGATTCCTTTAGGAATATTTTCATCTTTTAAACTTGCGTTTCTTTGTGGGGAGAATGAAAGCACTGCAACTCTTCCAGCCTGCCGAGTTAATGTGATGGCCCATCCGTGCTGTCTCTTCCACTTCAGAGAGG